AAAAAAAAAAAAAAAAAAAGTGATTTCATAATAATCAAAGGTCTCTGAGAAAATAAAATTTGAATTTATATTATGTAATTACATAACTTCAAAATATTTAAAGCAGAAACTGATAGAAAAAGGAAAATGGACAAATTCACAATTTAGAGTGCTAGATTTTAACACATTTCTCATCAAGTGATGGAACGATGTATAGAAATAGAACAGTTAACAATTCACAAGTTTGATCTTATAGACATATTTAGAAAATAGCACCTTGAAATTGCAGAATTACACATTCTTTGGAAGTACACAAAGGAAACATGTTAGAATTTTCCATTTTAAGCTACAAATAAAGTAGTCTCAAATTTCAGATAATATAAAACATGTTTTCTGGTCACAATACAATTAAAGTAGATATAAGTAAGAAAGAGATAACTATAAAATCTTCCTATGTTAGAAATCAAGAAATATACTTTTAAACCCATATGTCAAAGAAGAAATCATAAATTAGAAAATATTTTAAACTGAATGATAACAAGGCATGACATATTAAAATGTGGGAATCAGCTAAAGCAATACTTAGAAGGAAATGTATAGCCTTAAAAACATATATTAGAAAAGAAGAAAGCCTGAAAATTCATGAGCTAAGGTATGTCTCAAGAAGCTAGGGGAACAGCAAAATAAACCAAAAGGAAGTAGAAGCAAGGAAATAATAAAGATATGAAGTAAGTGAAGTAAAAAAGAAACATACAATAGAGAGAATAAACAAAACCAAAAGTTGGTTCCTTGAAATTGACAAACTTCTGGCAAGAGCAATCAAGATGAAAAGAAGGCACAAATGATATCAGAAACTTTAAAAAATTGGACATCAATAAAGATCCCACAAAAATTTCTGCCAATATAAAAAATGAGAATACTTATTAATCTTTTAACAGTAAGTTTGGAAAATTAGGTAAAATGGATTAATCCCTGGTAAATACAACAAGAATGAATAAAAACCTTGAAACTCCTAAAACCTTTGAGAAACTGAATTTGTATTCAAAAATCTTCCCGCAAAAAAAAAATCCAGATCCAGATGGCTACACTAACTACATTCTACCAGTTTTTCAAGGGAGAAATAATATTAACCTTACAAAACTTCTTCCAGCAAATGGAAAAAGATGGTATGTTATTCAATTCTCTTATAATAATAGCATAACATTGACAACCAAACCCAACATGAACAGTATTAGAAAGGAAGATAATAGGCCCATTTTATTCATAAATATAAATCCCAAACAAAATATTAGCAATATGGATCCAAATTGGATTTATGTTAGGAATGCAAGGTTGGCTTATACATTAGAAAACTGATATAATTTATCACAGTGATAGACTGAAGGATTATACATATTGGATATCCTAAACAGTGCAATAAGATGAAAAAAAGAAGGAAAATATGTAAGGATTGAATATGATGAAAGGGGAAAACTCATTGTATATGGAAGATATGATGGCATAGATAGAAAATCCAAAGGAATTTATATATAAATTATTAGAATTTAAAAAAATTTTCAAGCTTGCTGAAAACAAAATAAATACCAAAATTAATTGTATTTCTGTATACCAGAAACAGTTGGAAAAATAGTTTTAAATAGCATTTTAAAATTCCAAGCACGAGTCACACATTCCTGTCAGATAATGGCAGCTGCCTAAATCTCTCCACACAGTCTTCAAAAACCATACATACACATACACACACACAATTTTAAATTATGACTAAAACCGCCCATAACCCATCTACAGAATAACCAGAAGATAAAAAGTACTGAAAGTTTATATTTACAAGTAGAAAATAAATCTACAAATCTAGACAACCTTGCTCCAGAGAGAAACCCTGTCTCAAAAAAAAAAAAAAAAAAGAAAGAAAGAAAGGAAGAAAGAAGAAAGCAAATGTTGGAACTTAACTGTCCTATAAAAACAAAAGTGAATCACGAAATTACAAGACCCACAGACCTCTTTGGTCCCATCTGTTAAATAAATTGCACTTCCATTTATCAACAGTAGAGGGTACTCCTGGCTCAGAAACCTAGTAAGGCACCCAGCCCTCATGTCTGCCTACATAAATCACCTCTTTTGCTGAAACAAGAAAATGTAAGGAATTTCTAAATGAATAGAAAATAGCACATGAGGCAGATGGTATTAATGTTCTTGAGTTTTTATTCCCTCTTTCCTTGAAAACCTCATCAACTTTAGGCATGGCCATGTGACTCATTTTGATCAATAGAATGTGATTGGACATGACATATACCACTTCCAAACAGAAGCTTTAAATGTGATTTTGTGTTTGACACTCTTGTGCCACTGCTCCAGGCTCCAGACTTTGAGCCTCTAGAATGATGAGTGAATAAATTTATTTTGTTTTAAAGGCACTAAGTGTGTAGTGAATTTGTTACAGTAGCCCTAGAAATCTAATACTAACAAAAACAATGTTAGAGTTGAATTAGAAGTGTCAGTGAGAACTTAGGAATTAAAAAAGCATATTCTTAGCACTGTTCGCTGAAGGAATCTAGAAGTAATTACACTGCAGTAATAACAAGCCCATCGCATGCCCAAATCTTGGTCTCTAACTGCCATTTTCCATTCAAAAGAATCTGAGCTCCCTAGAGAAATGACTTTTTCAAGGCTGGATCAAGGAAACTGCCAGGTGATCTTAGATGATCTTGGTGATCTTGATGTGCCAGAAGATAAATGGGATCATGGGAAAAGAACACAGCAACTGGCCCGAAGGGCTTCCTGTTGGCTAGATTTGAGACAATTTGAGCATCAAAAGGAATAATGAGGGTAATGGATCATAATTGGAAAATCAGTTTGCAACCATCAATATACTATTGAATACTTGTAAAGAACTTTAAGGGTTGCTAATACCATTGGATAAAAGCTTGTTGTGAAACAGAATATTTGCATGATCTCAAAGTCTCACTCCACAAATTGTTAGGAAAAGTCAGGAGATTGAGACCATCCTGGCTAACACAGTGAAACCCCGTCTCTACTAAAAATACAAAAAAAAAAAAATTAGCAGGGCCTGGTGGGGGGCACCTGTAGTCCCAGCTACTCGGGAAGCTGAGGCAGGAGAATGGTGTGAACCCGGGGGGGCGGAGCTCGCAGTGAGCTGAGATTGTGCTACTGCACTCCAGCCTGGGTGACAGAGCGAGACTCCGTCTCAAAAAAAGAAAAAAAATTGAGGCAGAATTTCGCTATGTTGCCTGGGCTTGTCTCAAACTACTGGGCTCAAGCAATCCTCCTGCCTCAGCCTCCTGAGTAGCTGAGACTATAGGGGCATGCCACTATGCCTAGTTTAAGAGGTAGTATTTAAACTGAGACCTGAAGGGTAAAAAAACATGGATAAAAGAAGAAACAGAAGGGGTAAGAGCCTTCCAAGCAGAGGGAATCACATATACAAAGGCTCTCATGTTAAATAAAACAAGAGTTGACATAGTTGAGAAACTAAAAGATTAGTTTATCTGCGATGCAGTAGAATAGGAGGAATGCAGTGGGAGAATAGATCAGAGACTTGGGCTGGGGCTATATTAGGCAGAGCTTGGAGACCAGAATAAGGGGGCCAAGGTGGGAACAAACCAATTAAATTGGCATTTCTCCCCGGGGGGTGGGGGGCAGGGAGCTAGCCCATGCATCATTTTTTAAAAGCTCCAAAGGCGATTCCAATAAGCAGCCAGGGTTGGGAACCTAGGGGGAACATGTAGCTAGATTAATGAAGATGGCCCAAACTTCTTTTGTTCTGATACCTAAACTCTCTGTAGGAACACAGTGCTACTTTACAGTACATTCGCCAGGAAAAGTCTCTTCCCATTTGGAATCTGAAGTAAAACCGACACCACACTTGAAGATGCCAGGATTGTTAGAGGAAAATGTCACCCAATAGTCCCAGGAAGCAGGAGCCCTTTTGTTGCTATTTAACCACTTCTTTCCGGTATGGTGGCAAGTTGCCTCCTTACACACAAACTGCCTCAGGAGATCCTAAGGATATCATGGTGTCTGTCCTTGCAAGAGCATGCACTATGGTAGGACATTACCTTCATTCTGTTCCTTTTTCTCCAAGACTCTTGCGTATTCTCACCATTTGGCTGGACTTTCTTCTGTAGGTTTACCTCGGAATCCACACAAAACCCACAGGATTTTAGAGTTGCCTTGAATTACACACTTGAACATTCGGATCTTCATTTTCCCAAACATCCACCCAGTTATAGGTGGCCTTTGCTCCAAAGTCCTGGAGTAGCAAGATGCCTTGAGTCTTAGACTGTCTTCCCACTTCTTTCTCTCTGTATCCCCTCCTGCCAAGGTTGCCCAGCCACATTAAATTGCATGCCTTGCTGTGTTGCATTCGTTATCATTCTAAAGTTGTCACCAACATGTGGGAAACCAGTTTATCTAACTAATAATGATAGCTACCATTTTCTGAGCTCTTACTGTGTACTCTTCTTGCCACAGCAAATGCATTGACAAGGGAGTCTGCTGGCCAAAGCCTGACTCTCATCTCCAGATGATCCAACACAGGTGCTGTGTGTGACCCGGGACAAAGCACTTAATATCACCGAGGTTTGGAAAGTGGGTGAGAACATTCTAGATATAAGGCCTAGCTAGAGTGAAGGCCTCCAAAGCAGGGTGCTCTTAATTCTAGATGTCCCAGATGCATGGGACAGAGTAATCTAGTCATCTTCCAGGATTTAATCCTGGACTACTGGAAACAACTAGAAGTGAGAACAGCATCTGTGCTTTGCAGTGACCACTGTCCTGTCAGACAATCAATAAATGCTATCTTTCCTCTTTCAGGTTTTTCAGGGAAATCAAGACTCCTTCACACCTGTGGTGAACTCTCTAGACTCACCGTTACTGACTCGCTACCTTCGAATTCATCCCCAGAGTTGGGTGCACCAGATTGCCCTGAGGATAGAGGTTCTGGGCTGTGAGGCACAGGAGCTCTACTGAGAGTGGCCACTGCAGCACCTGCCAGTGCCCGCACCCCTCCCTCCTCAGCTCCAGGGCAGTGTCCCTTCCTGGCTTGCCTTCTACCTTTGTGCTGACCTTCGGTTTACTTCCTGCCCCACATTGTCCATGGCCCCATTATTTTGCTATGTATTTAAACTATACAGTCCTAGCAGACACTGCCTTGAAGCCTCCCAAATTAACTATCATTAATCCTGCATTTATTTGGTGGGGGGCCAGGAGGGTGCATCCAATTTAACTTAACTCTTACCTATTTTCTGCAGCTGCTCCCAGATTATTCCTTCCTTCCAATGTAACTAGGCAAAAAGTTGTTTTTGCTTCCTTACACATAGACATAATTATGTTATTTAGTCATGAGGGGCACATTCTTATCTCCAAAACTAGCAGTCTTAAACTGAGAATTATAGATAGGGTTCAAGAATCCCTAAGTTTCCTAAAATTATATGGGACATTCTGTATAAATGCAAATGTGCATTTTTCTGACGAGTGTCCATAGATTTAATCTCAGAAAGATGTAGACATAAAACCATTTGGTCTTAACTCTGACCAATAAAAAATAAGTCAGGAGGATGGAATTGTTGAAAGCTTTGAAACAAAATAACTATGTCTTCTTGAAATTTGTGATGGCCAAGAAAGAAAATGATGATGATAATAGGCTTCTAAGGACATATATTTAATATTTCTGTTAAAATATGAGGAAAATCCATGGTTATCTGGGATAGGAGATACAAACTTTGTATTTTGTATTTGGCCTACTTCGTAATAAATGAAGATGGATTTTTTAAATCTTTGAGGTAGTGCCACATAAAGTCCTAAAGATCTAGCAAATTCTTTGAAAAATCATAAATTTCCATAATGAATCCTGCGGGGACAGGAAGAAAAGGAACTGATAGCAAACAGTTCAAAACTTTGTTGACATCTGCTGTACTAAGAGGCACATGCCCTGAGATAGGAGTTCAACAGACTCTGCAGATAAAACAGGATGCAGTAAAGAAGCTGGCCAAACCTGCCAAAACCAAGATGGCAGCAAAAGCTTCCTCTGGTGGTCCTCACTGCTCGTTATACACTAATCATAACGCATTAGCATGCTAAAAGACATTACCACCAGCACCACGACAGTTTACAAATGCCATGGCAACATCCAGAAGTTACTGTACATGGTCTGAAAGGAAGAGGAACCCTCAGTTCCAGGAATTCCACACCCCATTCCTGGAAAACTCATAAATAATCCACCCCTTGTCTAGCAGGTGATCAAGAAATAATCATAAAAATAGCCAACCAGCCTATGGAGTAGCCACCCTTTCATTCTTTTATGTCTTAATAATTTGCTGTCACTTAAGTCTGTCAGCTCGCTCTTGAATTCCTTCCTGTGCAAAGCCAAGAACCTATGTGACTTCTCAAGTTGAACCCCAGCTTTGAGGTTCGCCCTGTGACACAACACAACAGCAGCATAGTCTGCCCCTATGAGTGCTTACTGTGCTATAATAATGCACTCAGTTTACTCTCTCCCTCTACTAATTTCCTGCTGAAAATAACACAACAAAAATGTAATGGGAAATTTTATACCATGACTGAAAACTAGAGTCCCACTTACATAGTTGAAGTATCAAGGAGGTCAGAAGAAAATTGGACTGGTGAAAACTGAAAAAACACTCCAGCCTGCCATGTCACCACACAGTAGGATTCCCCATCTTGCCCTCCACCCCAATAATATTGCGAAGGGTTTACTGCTCCTTCCATCTGCCTGACCCCTTCATTAAGACTACACAGAATCTCCTGATTTAGTAAAGGGGACTGGAGGCAAGGATAAGTTATAAGCAGTTGGAGGAAGCATCTGAAGATTGCAACCCAGGGCAATTTGAAAATAGGAGATCCTAATATGAAAGAAAAATGGATCCCAATCTGAGAAAAGGCAAAAGAATGGCTACTTATTTTCTATGCTGGAGTATTTTCTAATAATCCTGCTTGACCCTGAGCTGACCGCTTTGGAAACTATAACATAGCTGTCACAGTATAGTCACAATCCACAAATGATAAAGGTGAAAATGGTTTATAGCCCTGTGAAGTTCTTAACATTTAGAGGCTAACTTACAGAAATGAATAAGTTGTTTTGTTTTATAGCCTGGTAGAAGAGTTAACCCCAAAGGTGATATGGTTTTATTTCCTGTTATGTTTAACTTGGCAATCTTGTTTTGGCATTCTTTTCCCATTGACTATATACAGCTCTATTTCTCAAATGTTAATGGAACTAGTTCTTTTATTTTCCTGCTGGTTTCTTCAGTAATGAGTTAAATAAAACATTGACACATACAAACAAATGCCTTTGAGAATTGTGTTTTTACACTGGAAATAAAAATGTGAGCACTGATATTTGTAAAACAAATAGGGGCACTGAATAGCAAGATGGACACTCTAGAAAACCAAATTAGTGAGTTAGAAAACCAGATTAAATTGAACTCAGAGTAAAAATGATTTAATTCATGAGAGGCTGAATAAAATAAATCAGAAATGGAGTCTCAATCCAGGTGAACAGCTTATATGGAGAGAGAAAGAGACTGAGAGAGAAATGGGAGTTTCTGTTCAATGGGCATAACGTTTCAGTTATGCTGCTGGGCATGGTGGCTCACACCTGTAATCCCAGCATTTTGGGAGGCCAAGGCAGGCGGATCACCTGAGGTCAGGAGTTCGGGACCAGCCTAGCCAACATGGCGAAATCCCATCTCTACTAAAAATATAAAAATTAGCTGGGCATTGTGGCACACGCCTGTAGTCCCAGCTACTTGGGAGGTTGAGGCACAAGAATTGCTTGGACCCAGGAGGCGGGTGGAGGTTGCAGTGAGCCGAGATCATGCCATTGCATTCCATCAGCCTGGGCAACAGAGTGAGACTCCATCTCAAAAAAAAAAAAAAAAAAAGTTTCAGTTATGCAAGATGAATTAAGTTCTACAGATCTAATGTACACCATTGTGCATATAGCTAACGATACCACACTGGGCACTTAAAAATTTGTCAAGAGAGCAGATACCATGTTGTGTTCTTACTACAATTTTACCACAATGTAAAAATGCATTGTAAACACTATGTGCAAATAGAATAGCAAAGAATGTACACAATGCCCATGAGCATAACATTCTAGTGGACCCACAATGCATTGGAGTTCAGTGAGACTCAAAGGGAGAAGAATGTTAACAAAGTCAGTGGGGAGGGGGAAACGAGTGTGATGAAATAGGCGGTCTCATTAAACTTCCCTTACAAAACACAAGATCAAAGATAAAATTATTAAGAATTTCAAGACAGTGACATCAGAGCAAACAAAACATAGGGCCCCTCAGGGCATAGATCAAACTCCCATGAAGCCAATCCTGAGTCCCAGGCAAGCTGGGACTTTTGGTCATCTAGCAATAGTCATGTGAGTGCACCATCTTGGAAGTAGATCCTCCAGTTTCTTTCAGTGTTTTGGGTCACAACCTAGATACCTTTATCAGTGCCTGGGAATGTTCAAGGTCCCAATTTTCATTCAGGCCTGCTGGCTGGGTCACAGAATGGTCAAGCCACTCCATGATTTTCTATCATGACATAGCAAGAAACTGGGAGAGACTGGAGGACTCTACAAAAACTTTCATTTTATGTATTTCCTGGGAGCCCTGTTTTCTAATAGACCCCTAACTGAGATACCATTTTTGCCGTTCTTCTATGGATAACTATTATTTTTTAAATTTTTAAAATATTTTATATTTTGTAGAGACAGGCTCCTGCTATGTTGCCTAGACTTGATTTGCATTTTTTTAAACTTTAAGTTCTGGGATACATGTGCAGAACATGCAGGTTTGTTACATAGGTATACATATGCCATGATGGTTGGGTGCACCCATCAACCCGTCATCTAGGTTATAAGCCCCACATGTCACCCAGGCTGGAGTGCAGTGGCATGATCATAGCTCACTGCAGCCTCAATCTCCCAGGCTCAAGGCAGGCTACTGCCTCAGCCTCCAGAGTAACTGGGACTACAGGCGTGCACCACCACACCTGGCTAATTTTTAAATGTCTTGTAGAGACAGGATCTCGCTATGTTGCTCAGGCTGGTCTCAAACTCCTGAGCTCAAGCTATCCTTCTGCCTCAGCCTCCCAAAGTGCTGGGATGACAGGCGTCAGCCAGAACTATTTTTTTTAAAATTAGTTTATAAGAGTTCTTTGTACATTAACAATCTTAATTGAATGTCTGTCGTATATGCTGTGAAATTACTTAATTTGTCATTAATCTTTTATCTTTTTTAAACAATGTTTTGCTATATGAAAGCTTTACATTTTTATGTTATAAATTTATCAGTATTTTCATTTATGGCTTTGGGTTTTATGACATGCTTAGAGTAGCTTATTCTGCACCAAGATTATAAAAATATCCACTCATAGAATTTTCTATCATAAAAGTATGACAGAAAATGTCATATTTTATATATGATTTTATTTTTGTTTAGTCCTTGATCCATCTAGAATTTCTATTTTGCATAGCATGGCAAAGGGCTCACACCCAACATCATATTAAATAATGTCTTTTTCCCCAATATGAAATGCCATATTTACCATCTATTGAAGTTCTATATATATATTATAAGGCATAGTTAGATACCATGTGGTGAATAAAATATCTTAGAATTCTTCAAGCCTAAGAGGATACAACTACTGTAAGGATGGGTTTTGGTATAACACAGATGTTTATACATAGACAGAAATTGATGTCTGTGTGCTTAGCTGTCGAATAAGGAGACTGGGGGAGAGTTAAATGTAATCGATGATATCATAAGGAGTCGTGGAATTCTATTTGGAACTTCAGAGACCTAAGGAGAAGACTGACCAGCTTCTTCTGAAGACTTCTGCCCTCTAAAGACTAAGGCCTAATTCCACTGGTTTCTTTGAATTCCGTAGTGCTAAGTCCATTTTCAGGTAAGTGGTTTCCCACTGGATGTGCGTCTCTTTAAGCCCTAGCAAACAGT